GTATTCAAACCTTAGTTGACCACTCTTCTATCTAGCATTATCTACTAACATTCCTTAAACTCACAGTAAGAAATGTTGCTCTCCGGCTGTGGCTCTATCAGGGATGCTATCACACTCTTATTATTGTTACTTATTTCCTGACTGAGCACAAGATACTAAACTGGCATTTTTATACTCACCCGCAGCATTCTGTGAGGGCCTTCCTGAATTCATTTGACATCTAATGTTGCATCCTTTCAGAACTCAAAAAAGTATACCTAAGACTATTTTATTAAGAAGAATATTTGCAAATTTATCATAATAAATCTCTAGAATTTACACATATATCCAAACTTTAGAAAGACTTTAGATTTATTTATACAACTGAATTGTTAATTTTTAAAAATTGGTATTTTAATTTTCTAGTACTTAACAGCAGTCAGAACATAGTGTCTAAAATTGATTAGAGTCCAGTTTAGCTCTCAAAGCTACTCTTAAAATTGTACTTACACCAATATAGGTAGTGCCAATTTTTTGTAATATGTCGATTTATTGATTTTGTGTGAAGTTTACCTGATAATGCATAAAAGGTAAGTTGGCTCTAAAGCATGAAGACAGTCCCATTTTAAGTCCGATTTATGTTTTTTAACTTTTGTAAAAAAATTATTCCTCCATTCAGCAGATCAAGGTCTGAAAACTTAACCATATTTGTGTGTCTAATGCTTACAAAAATTCCTGGCACATAATAAGCATTTGATAAATGTTAACTGAGTCAAATTATCTCAAATCCTAAATGTGTTGAAATTGATAAAATTTTACTGAATGAAAGTCTTTTTTGAATTTACACCTTACCTAAGAGTATAAGTTTTTAAAACTCATCAGATTGAGAAGCTATTAAAATTTTCATGCAGAAATCCCCAACAGTGTATTACAAATATATTTACCATATCATATTTTTCTTACTAAATGTCCATTAAGTAATGTTCTAGGGGTTTTACATTCAGACTTTGATGAATCAGTGACTATTAGGATGGCAACAGCACAGTGACCTTGATAAATGATTGTTTCAGATGCTCAAGCAAATAATTCATTAGTTTGTTAAATTCCTGGGTATTAGAATGCAACTGGACTTAGTCCCATGAAAGTAACTTAAATTAGAAGAAAAACTATGACTTGTCTCATTTTCCCTCTTATGCCAGAAGTCAAGAAGGTTTGTTCTAATGTTATTTTGGAAAAGTGCAACAGCTAGGAATCAAGTCTCTGAATTGCCTCTAGTAGAAAAAAACTTAAGGTAGACAAGAACACAAAATGGATTTTTTGTGTGTTTAAGTGTTGAGATAAAAGAAATTTTCAACTTGCACCTTGTTAAATTAACCTGGTTTTAGGTTCTTAATCGTTAAAATCTTAAATGATGGAAAAATATTTTAAAAAGTATTCGGGGCTGTGGGTGTAGCTCAGTTGTAGAGCATTCACCTAGCATGCACAAGTCACTGAGTTCAGTCTCCAGCATCCAAACAAGGTGTTATTAGAGAGAGAAGTTAGACTGTGGATTCAGAGGAGACTGGCCAGGGAGACATACTTCAGAACTCAGGGAAGGAATGTGACACTATGCAAACCCTGTGTTAGTAGCCCGGTACTACTATCTTCTTCCTTCCCTTCTCTATGTATAAAAGAATACTTATTACAAATATAAGTAGTACACAATGTAGATACCAACTGATTTAACTGCTATCACTGTTCATTAGTGAAATTTAGGCAAATTATATTGTCCCCTACCAAATGCTGAACACTATTAAATACTATTTAGAATTAAAATATTCATGTCTATATTCTGTAAAATTATAATTCTTTTAAAAACAGGAAATTCTAACTTTTTTGTTTTGAAAAGACAAGGGTATAATTAATTGTTTGTAATATGGTAAAATAAAAATACTTTGTCACTAAATTATTAAAAACTACATGAACATGTCAATACATGAACCTAGATTTTGTATCAACTTTGTCTAATTATTATTAAAATAGGTACAATAATTTGACTGTATTACATCCTTTATTTTTTCCTACCTGTAATAAATCTCAATGATTTAGGTTGGTGATTAATATTGTAAAGTCGAATTTCATATATTGTCCATAATTTTGTTATTTTTGATTCTTGTACAGTATTTCAAAAATCAGTTTTGCTAAGCATTGTGGCAAGAGTAAATTTTAATGCAAAGGTAACACTAACAGAGAAAGGTAAACAACAAGGAAATAATAGTTGATTTCAAGTATTTTATATGCCAATTATAAAGACAACCATATTACGATCAATCAATCAGTAGTTACTGAGTATCAATTAGTGCGGGGCTTCATGGGAGAAAGACACATACATATACTGAAACCCTCACAGTATCGGAGTGGTGCTCAAAACTGCTTTATACAGTTCCCTCATGACAGACAAGTGTGTGTAAAGAAGATTGGAAGATGGACAAGAACAACAGTGGGGCATTATATTTTGTAAATTTTTTAAAAAGCAATTTTCTTAGAACAAAAGGACGGCACTGGGGTGAGTGAATTTATAAAGATAGTGCTGGACTGCACCCAGTTTTTCATTGTTGTTGAAGTCTTCTTCCCACAATGGCTTACTGTGCACATCACAAAGTCTTTAGGGTCTTCAAAATTAAAAGTGACAGAGGTTTTTTTAAGGCACACTTGAGAATGGAACATTCTTCCTCACTCTTAATATAATATGCCCTTAAACATTTCTCTAATAATTCTAGTCATCTTGACAATAGAAAATCATCAAGACAATGCAATGACTTTACAAAGAAAAAGAATGACAGTTTCCTGTCTACTTTTCAAAAATGTTTTATAATATGATTTGAGATTGGTTTTATTGAATAGGCTGAATGGGAAATCAATTCGTACAAAATGACATTCCCTATAATAAAGAACACCTACACTTCTGAACAACGCATCCATTCTCACACATTCACAATGTTGTTGTTATTACCACTAGAGTCTTTTCCAGAATAATTTTCTGACAGGGAAAATACAGCTTTGTTTAAAATAAACTGACAATGTCAGTAAAACAAGCAATAAAACATAAAAGGGGTTGAGGGTTTTGTTTTTATTCACAGTTCTATGACTCTGGAAAAAGTATTATTTCTCACCTTCTCTCATGAAGCTAGAGTTCTTCCTATCAGGGCTTCATTTATCCAGCAAATTATTTATTGTGTCCCTATTATATGCACTGCATGTTGGCTGTATTAGGTGCTGGTTTTATTGGTACCCAAAATATTGTAGGACCATGCCCTCACAGTATAGATAGTTCTGGACAATTAGTCTTATAAATAAATATATAATTACATATTATGAGTACAAATGGGGAACAATACTGGGTTCCAGGAGGCAAAAACCTCAAGAACTAATTTTGGTTGGATTTCCTCAGTGGGGCCTGAAGGGGAAAATTTACCAGATGAAGAGTTAGGAGAAGAGCATGCCAGGGGGCATGGTTTATGGGAAGGTTCTTGGTACTGCATTTCCAAATCCAACCCAACAGTGGGTGCAGGTGGAAGCAGGACAGAAGAGCAGAGCAGCACCTGCTGAGGCTGCAGCAGCAGGCAGAGGCCAGGCCTGCCAGTCAGAGAAGGGAATTCTGACTTTCTCCCTAGACCAGTGGGAAGCTATTGAAGGATGTGAAGAAGGGGAGTGATGCAATGGTGTTTGCATTTTATAAAGATGGTCTTTTTCTACTGAAGAATAGACTGGGAGAGGGTCTCAATGGAAAAATTCCCTAGCTGATTTTCAAATCCTTCCATAAACGACTTGGTCACCTGCGACCCCTCCCTTCATATCCATGGTGTCCAGCCATAAGGTGCACTGGCCCTTCCTAAACTTTTTCTCCACCATGGCACATGGCTGTTTTTGTCTGTTCCCCTTCCTTGGTCTCCGAGTCCACTCTCTGACCCCTGACTTGTTTACAAGTTAAAAATTACAACATGCTAAAGGAAGCCCAACTGACTCAAAGTCTAATTCATCCATGAAGATTGTTCACTATACTTTAAATCCTATGTCACTCAATACAAAAATCCTGAGTTGTAAAAAAAGAATCGTGATAAGGAACTGATTTTGGCCTGGACTGATGAGCCCTGGAATTATCTGTCTACTGAGATCACTGAACATACAGAGCTCAACCCCACTCCCCATATACACACCCAAGTCTTGGGCTAAAAACCACTGTTAAAGAGCATCTTTCTTTTATATTTTTAGATGTAGAATTTAAAAGACAATTTCAAATGCATTTTTATAGTACCATTATAAAATCTTCTTTGTACACATACACACATATTGACAAAAATTGCAGTTAGCTCATTTTTCTATTTCTATGATTAATGATTTCCCTCTAGTTGTAGAGAAGAAACTGGGTAGCATAGCCCCAACAGACTTTAAGAAGGAAAAAGAACTAAATCAGACCCCAAGAAGCTGAACAATACCTATTTCTTCAACTTATATTTTCCCTGAAGCAGCTCTGAAACTGGGTCATAGTTTTATTGGGGAAGTAAAACTTGACTGACTCAGATACAGTTTTTTGCATTATACTTTTGCTTATTATTTATGTTCTACCTAGTTCCAAAAAGAATTATGGCTTCTTTAATTGAGAATTTTCAGTGTCTGGCATAAGAAAATTGCTTAAAGCTTGACTCCTCCCTAAGACGCTCTGTAGATAACGTACCTGAACCAGAACTCGCAATTCCGTCCAGCCTCACCAATGCTATGCACAGACTATACCCAGTCACATACTTAACCGTGGATACTCAAAGACCACTTTGAAAGAGTCTAATAAAATATGTAAAAAGTAGGATTTTAATAACTCTGACAACATTTGACTGGCATATTGTCTTTAAAAATAATTTTACTAAAATCACTTCAAGAAGAAAACATAACCCATATCGTTTCCCCATGATAGTCAGGTGACTGAAACCTATGGAATGAGCCAGCATTCTCCCCTGACCTCCCTGGGGTGCCCTCTTCTTACCCACCTTGATCTCTTTCATGCCATGTTCGACTTCCAGCAGCTGGTGAGTTTGGAGAGGGGTAAAAGTCTCCTGTGGGACTTGGTTCCATATTTTCATCTATGGATATGGTTTTGGGTCTTTTGCTGTTAAAATATGACAATTGTATACAGATATATATTAATAGGATTTCTCAAAGTACGTAGCATTTAAAAGCAAATGACTTGAGATTCTTATCACGGAAATTTCCATAAACACCAGTAATCTAATCATCTTGAAAGGTTGGTGAATATTCAAGACATCACCAAGAATGGCACACATTTCTAGTTTTGTGTGTTATTTATTATACCATCATATGCCTGTACCTGCCTAACAAATATGATGTTCATTATATTTACATTTTCATACGTTTTTCGAGAGAAATTTCATTCATGGTGAACTCTTAATGTGGCTTCTGTGTTAACATTAAAATTGTGTTAAGAATGTACTTGAGTTTTATTATGATTGACAATAATGTTCATTTGCATAGCACTTGCCATGACAATGTAATTCTTTCCTATTAATTCAGAGATAAGATAATGGAATAGAGTAGAACAAGAGCTTTGGAAGTCTCAAATCTCGACTAAGCTATATATTAATTCTTAATGGTAAGCTCCTTAACCTTTCTAACCTCAGTTTAATCATTGGTAAAATGGAAATAATAAAAATGTACTTCAAAGGGAGATGGTTGAGAAGATTAAATGAGATATTAACCTTAAAGCTCTTAGTTAAGTAGCTGGCATTTAGAAGATACTTATTAAATATTAATTATTAGTATTAACCCTATAATTGACAATGATAATAAATTTTATAGTACTTTGCTGATTATAATCTATGTCATGTATTCTTCAGTACTTTTTCCTTAAAAACTAAGGTTATTTATTGATACTTTATTCTTAAGGTAAACCTTGAAAATATTAGGAATTTTGAACTAAATGGTATGCTTTTAAAATGGTACATTTTAATGAAGAAAAAATGATTCTAACTAATTATTAAGGAAGTAAATATCTAGAACAAAATTTCAAAGACTATGATATAGGCCATCCTGCTTGATATGCTGCTTTTCTATCTTCCACTAATACCCTATTAATTATAATTATAAAAATGAAGTATTTTTAATTTTAAAAAATCGTTCTGTACCTTTACTGGTAAGAACTAAAAAACATGAATGATATTATTTAGATCTAAAATGTCCTCTCAAAGTCTCACGCATTTGGAAAGTGACTGGACACAGGCGCCGTATACATCAGTGAATTCATCTACTGTGAGCTCAGACCAGAGCGTGCAGTGAGGAGGTAGAGGTCGGCTGGAGGTGACCACTGGACCCATGCCCTGGAAGGGCATCTTCTCCATCCCGCTTCTGCACTCTCTCTCGCTCCCTCTGTCTCTCCCACCCTGCTTCCTGGCTGCCATGATGTGAGCAACTTTGCTCCCCAAACCTTTCCACCATGCTTTTTCTCTTTTGGAGCTGACCAACCACCCACTACACCCACTAAAACTGTGAGCCAAAATAAACTTTTCCTCCTTTAATTGTTTAGGATAATGACAATGAATTATATAGTTCTCAAAATATTTGTATTTCAGCTGGTAAAAACTAATATATGTAATAGGATTTCAGAATTAAAAATATACTCAAATCATATGCATAAACTGCCCCTATTTTTTAACAAATGAGGAGACACATTTGGAGGAATTCAGTGAATGACATACAGCAAGTGAATGGAAGCAGTGAGACATGCTCCTTCCACCACACAATATTCCCCAGCCCTCCAAGACTGTGTATGTCATGGTCCATTTGTAAACATACCTATGATTTAATCTGACTCACAATTCCCAGGACATTAGCATGATTAAAGATGGTAATTTCTATCCATACTGAACCATAGTAAGATTGAAGAATATTTCTTTTAGTCTCTTCTAAGGTAGCCAAAGTTAAAATTAAAAATTTTTAACTCTTCTTAGAATCTAATTCTCTCCTTTGTGAGTCAGAAGAGCTGGGAAAAACTTAAAATGGGGAAGAACTTATTTTCAAAAGGAAGTAATAGCGAATGTTTTAAAATCTTGTTTATTGTGAAGAACATAGTACCTGACAGCAAGTGACCATGAGGAAGGATCTGTGCTGACAACACCAATCCAAAAGACAAAATTTAAAAATCACTATCTACATTTTAAATTTAAAAAACTATTTTTAAGACCTTAACATGTCAGAGCTAATTTCAGATAATACACTAACTTGCCTTGATACACAATCTAACTGTATGAAGAAATAGTTTGTCCACAAATGGCATAAAGTCAGCCTTAGTTTTTAAACATACATGCATAATACCATACCTAATTAGAATGGAATGAACTTTCATTACTGACATATATATTTTGATAGTTCCTTTGTCCACACCAAAAAAAAAGGATTTTTAAAAGTGGTCTGAGCTATAAACATATTTAATTTGCAAGTATCAAAATAACACATAGTAGAAAAGATTAAGTCTGTGGACTATCAGCAGAAACTGTTTCATTTCCCCTTCCTCTTTACCAGCCTACCCACCTGACCATCTGCATATCTACCCACCCACTTAACTGAATACAGAATGGAAGGAGAACAGCCCCTCTCCTTCATACCTGCTTGGTGGAGAAGACAGTGACCTCTGAAGATTAACCCCGGAGTTCATGTCATGATAGTACGGTTGGCTTGGGATCTCTCCAATTGGAAAATTGACTCCAGTTCCCTGGGTTATGGGTGCTGAGGAATAAAATGAAAAGAAAAATTGAGAATGACATTTACATTTTTCATCTCTATTCAGATGTGAGGAATCAGTATTTTCCATGCCTCCAGGCAAGGAAGAGAACTCTCTTTATTTCAAGCATCTACTATCCACCATAATCTATGGTCAGACTTGATAATGTCCTCATTTTACATTGGGACACTTCCAGAACTCAGACTACAATCACTGGTTAACACCTTCCCTGATCCCCTCCCAGCCACCTTCACTCACTTTTTTATATTAGTTGCTACCACATCTGTCACCTCCCTGGTCTACCGACACCTGGGGTAGGGTGAGGAGAAGAGGATTCCTATCACTCAACACCAAAATAAATTGCCTTGTACTAAACAAAATCTCAGTAAAGTAAATAAATATAGAACCATTTCACAAATACATACCAAGATTAATGCTCTGTAATATTAATATCAGAATGGATTAAAAGTTAGATATTTACAACTATTTGTTATAAATAATTATTGCATTAGGACAGGTATATAAGTAAAATTTACAAAGATGAAATAAATGTCAAGGATTTTTTCAACTCATATAGTCAAGTTTTATGTATGAACGCTAATTGTGACTTTAGTTAATAGCCATGCTTTACTAATTTTTTAAAAATTTTATACTACATTTAAAACACACTCATGGAATTTTGTATTTTAAGATATTAATTTATAAATCAAGAAATCTTTTTGAATTTGCCAATACATTATGAACTAAGATTTTCATATACAAGTATTTTTGTACAATGATTACATCTGTTCTAATTTCTGAAGTAAATTTTTAGACATCTTGAATAAATATGGGAAGCAGTATGTTATATTACAATAAGAAAAATGTTGGGAAATAAATAGTCTTTTGGTCAAACCTTCTCTGCCACTTAAGCTATTTTCCTAAACTGTAAAATGGAAATAATGATAATATATCACATACAATTATTCTGAAGATGAAATGAGGTAATAAGGAGAGATAAAAACTCAGTATCATGTCTAATACATAAAAGGTGCTCAATAAATCAGAGCTCCCTTTTTTCTTTTCTTTCTTCCTCCAGTTTCTTCCCTGTAGGGTTGTTAGCAAAGATGGAACAGTTCAAAAAATGTGTTAAAGGTAAATGAAGCAATATAAATGAACTTGTTTTCTGAATGTTGGTTCACTCAAAAGTTACTGATTGTGTCCATTTTGGTCAAGTATTCCAATGAATAAAAACTAATCTCAGTACCCCTACCATTAATTAGCATATTGGGCAACAAGTTGGGTAAATACAAACTTGCACAAAACCTAAAAATATGAGGATAGTGTCAATTATATGAGGATTAGTGTCAATTAAAGCTGCCCAAATTAACAATGTGCTTCAGGATTTGCAGGGGAAAAGAACCCAAAACAGGCTTGAAGGGTCAAAGCAATCTGCAGAAAAGTTATATCATGCACTGGACTGTGGAGAATGTGGGAAGATTCTTCCAAACAGGGTCTGCTGCAGGAACAAAGTCAAAAACAGAGACAAGATGCACAACAGAGATGAAGGTAGCTGGTGTCATAGGGTAGTGCTAAGGGCCAGTTGATGTTTCTTTTCCTTTAGGCTTTCAGAAGCACTGAGAGTGTGGCCTAAGGCCTGGCAATGACATTCCAGAACTCAAAATTCACTCTAAGGACACAAGGTCCACTACACACCCCCCTCCCGTTTTCTCCAATTAAACAGAACATTCCAACGAGACCACAGATTTTCAAGAAAATTTTAACTAGAATTTATCATAAATGCTATAAATGTATCCACTATCAGTTGAGTTGTATTTTAATATCAGGCAGGCCAAGATTAACTTAAAAATATTTTTAAGAGTGTACAATTAGGAGATACATCCTTCACTGAAGTAAACAAGGAAGATTCAGAGAATATCTCTTTTTCTCTACTAATAATTAAGTTACCATGTACACAATGAGTCTTAGCTCCAAACTTCTGGAGCATCTTCCTTCCATTAGATCATTCATTCTACGTAATATATTTTAACTTCCTTTTGCACAGAAAAATATTTATATGCAAGGTGTAACTAAGCCTGATGGCTTGAATTATTGGGACAGCTAAGATGTAGCTATGTTTGTTGTGGCTTGAGGTACATCAGAGGTTAAAAAAAATGTGAGGTAAGAAATCCCACAGCAACCACATGCTTCAAAACGTATTATTAGAACCATATTCCGTGTTCCACTGAAATCAGAGTATGTGTTAGAGGTGGGCATTTGAGGAGCTCAGAGATTGTGAATAATCTAACTTCTTACAGTCATAGATGAAATTTAGAGACCTGAGTTACTGACAAGATGCTTACAGGTTGTATATTTTGGAAACTATTTGCAAATTCATTAAGAATAAGCAATATTTAGGCAAAGATTTATAATTTCTATTAGCTATATAAGGCTCAAGAGTGAACACAGACTGCTTGGCCATAAAAATGCTGGGTGTCATTTAGAGTAAAGTGATAATGTAAAAATCTTCAGGAATGTTGGTTTTCTTTCTAAATTTTGTTCCAGAAGGGTCATTCCAGGTTATCAGGAGAGCAATAAAAATAATTTCTACATATGCACACTATAAAAATTTAGTATGCATTCTGACAGTAAATGGGAGATTACAGAAAGAAAAGTAGATTAGTAAACATGGCCAAAACACTAAAACTGCACAAATATTTATTTAGCAAGAAGGAGAGCATGTGAGGAGAGCACTGCTGGGTTAGGTCTTCTGTTCAGAGCCTCTGGAAGGACTCAGCAGTTGCAGAAATGTTAGCACCCTCTCCCTTGCGGGGAGCTGCTAGAAAGCAAAGCTGAGCACTTTAACGGAAGTTAACACATGCATCGGGAGGGTCATATGTGGTAAAACTCTCCAGGATGGAACCATTTACACACTGAATCCTCAAGAAGTCAAAGTTTGTGACAAGGAGCATAAGGGTTGTGCTAACGTTGATGTTTACTTAGCAAACTCTTATTTCATAAACAATGAAGTTCAATTGTATAAACAAGATCATAATGTGATTATATTAAAGCACTTAAGAGAATAACTTCTCAAGCATTTCAGAGACACCTATTTACATATGGAGGAGAAAATAAATGTTTGCTGAATAAATTAACTAAGGAATGAATATGGATAATTAATGTACTAATTACAAATCAGTACTGTTTGTTATAACAAATAACCTAAAAACCTCTAAGAAATGACAGTATGAATTAGAAATGAATGAATGAAGTATGTTAAATTTACCTTGCTTCTGAATTGTTATAAGAAGGTATTTTTGGTCTTTTTTATGTCTGAAATTCAGATTTTTCAAAAATAGCACTCTGGGATTTTGAAGGTTCCAAAGTGGTTCTCCTTTGACAGCACTTATCATAATGTTACTCATAATGAGGCACTAATAAATATTTTCTGATAGATGACTCTACTGACCTTCTCATAAGAAGGATGAAAACACATTATGGAATTTGGAGAAGTACAAATTTCAGCAAATAATTCTATGTGCCTTATAACTTTAGTAGCATACCCTTTCTGCTAAACAACAGTAGGAAGGCGCATACCAAACTTTCATGGTGCTAGAATGTGATAGTAAATAAGGCCGGCATATCCCTCTCCAAGTCAAAATTTAAAGCTTTCAAATGTTACAGGCCTTCATATGTCTATCATACATGGATCTGGACAAATACATAAGACAGCCCGAGACAATGAAATAGACTTGAAAATCCTCTTGCCTGGCAAATACATACCCTGGAGCTACTAGGTCACAGATTTAAAATTTTTTTCTCCTACACTGTTTGTTCTGTCTACTTTAGAAATCTGAACTATTTGAGAAACTATAGTGGAAAAGACCTACTAGCTTAGAGATTCCTTCATGGAAAATAAATTGTTGTTTATTCTGATTTGCTCCCTTCTTTTTGAATTGTTGTAATCCTTGTTCATGATCTCTGAATTTGACCCAAATGAGAAATACGAAGATCAAAAAGTACCACCTCATCATCTAAATAACATCATTCTAAATTGTGACACTTTCTATTAAAACATCAGGTTAAAACATTTTATTCAATATTATATAAATAATCTGAACCAGAGAAAGGAGCAGAAGGAAGGAGTCACCTCCTTTAACATAATCAATGCATTAAACTCTGCATCTTAGATATATTTGTACACTCTAGTAATACACGAAAGAATTGATCAAGGAAATTTCCCCCTTGCTTAGGTAGCCAGCCAGGTGAGCTTACCCTAGAAAAATCTGATCCAGCCTGCCAAGAATGGTATCTCAGGTAAGGCAGCCAGTTAGAACAATTGCACATTGTTTTGGATAACAATGCTTTCTATCTATATCCAGCTATAATCTGTAAAGTTAATTTCTGTATCCCTTTACACTCTGGATGTTAGTGTATATCCTGTACATCTCCAACTCCCCACCAAATGTTAGTAAAATGAAAAAGCACTTATCTACAGGAAACTTATGTGGGTTATCATAACAACACAGAGTACATTTAATTAATCACACTTCCTTTGATATAATGCCCATCTATGGTCAAAGAGAGAGCTGAATTAAAGGAATACCAGTAACAAGGCAATAAGAGCAACCTAACAATTAGTTTTTTAGAGCAGCAAGTTTAGATGATTTGAATGTAAACATTTTAGAGAATTAGATATAATATACTTACTTATGGTTTTAGTAAATAAATGAGGATTTTAAAACTCAAATTTTCCTAACATATAATTATTCTTTATATTAAAGACTAAAATATAAAATATTTTACATTATACAACACACTTCAATAATAAGAAAATCTACTTACTTCTGGATACCCTCACAAGTTCTGATACATTGAAGACTCCAGACTTTACAAAACTATCCTCAAGGTATCCTGAAAATAAACATCAAGGGGAAAAAGATCAACATAAGCAGGAAGTTTCTTTTAAAAATTCATTACATGCTAGAATTTTTTCACTTTGTTCAGGTTAGAACAAAAAACTAAGAATGCTTATAACAAGGACAAGTAAAAGCAAAACTTCTGTAAATGCTAGCCTGTTTAAACAAAAGTAAAAAGTTTAGATGGTAAATAAACTGCTAGGAAATTTTTTTCTTTCTAAATATACAAATCAATTGGTGTGGTTTGATTTGCCATGGCCCACGCATAGAGAATGAAGGTTCACTCTGAATACATTAGACTCCACAGCACCTGGTAGGCTCAAGTCTACCCATTACCTATTAAAAAAAAGGGAAGAAAGAAAAAGGAAAACCACAACCACAATTAGCACTTTGTTGGAAATACTTCAAAGATCTCTTGAAACCACTGTTCTTTCACAAATCCTTCCCTGATTACAGAAAACTGAGCTGCTGTTACTCACACTCCCACCCTTGTTCCAGGGTCACTCCTAATACACAAGCAGAACTTGCACACACAGCGAACACTTCTCTGAATCAAGCTATTTATATGCACCTTTAATATTCCTTGCTTGAGTAATTTCAGTGCTTTTCCTACTCTTTTACTACTTCTTGCACCCCTTTAAGAACTGAACATTTTATGCCCAAGTAAGAGTGAATCCAGGCCTCCAAGAAGGCCATGTGACCCTCACATGAAATCTAAGCACTGGGTCCACAGTGACTGTGAACCGTACATACTTCTGGAGCCTAGAATGCATCAAACTAAAGTCAAGGGTGCCCACGAACAGCAAGAGCCCTCTGTCCTTACTCATGTCAAGGGGCCACGATGAGAGTGAGGAGGGCAGGATCCTGGAAGGTAGGATGTGGCCCACTTCCTGCTGCCCCAGGGACAGAGTAAGAATAGTCTGAAAATCCTCAGAACTGAAGCACTCCAGGGGTGGGGGCTCTACACTGTAAGAACTGGCACTTGATTGGATTTTACAGGTGATTTAGGGCTGCCTAAGATATAGGATTCAGCACAGGCTGGTTAACATATGGATGGCCTGGCCATGCGGGGCCTCAAGTCAGAATCCCTGCCTCAGTTTACTAGACCCACGGCCATGGTTTGAGACCTCTTTGTACTTCAGATTCCTCATCCCTAAATTAGTGAGGATACAATTACCCGTCTTATAGAGTTGTTGTGACTACCCATAGTATGCACTAGTTGGATGTGATGAATAAGACTAGTCAGCAGAGGCAGAAGTCAGCCGTACGCTGGATTATAGACACGGAACTTCCAACATTCCCAGATTATTTGTAAGAAAATTTACCAGGACAAAAATTATCACATTGTTTTCTAACCATATACAACATGAAAGAAAGAAAGTCATTTAACTGGCAGATATGTCTCACAGCTATGAACAGAGAGGTCTGGACACTGCTTTATAGCCACCCATTACCCCTTCAGAAACACAGGGAAGAAACCATAACAAGGAATAGCAAGGTCTCCGTTAGTGATAAAACTTAGAGCACATATGAACTCATTACTCTGAAAACAAATTTTTTAAGAGTAATAACAAAATGTCCCCACTTGATGCACTTCTATTTTAAGATACTTGAGCAATCAGTTTTTCACTGTGTTGAATTCCTTTCAGTGATTGCTGAGAAACTTCTATGTAACCTACACCATGCAAGGTTCTAAAAGTCATGAATGCAGAAAAGGCTAACTGACCACCTTTGCCTTGTATAAGAAAAATGATCTAGATCACTGTAAGTTATCACTGAATACAGATTTTTGGTTTCATTGGTTTTAAATAATACCTGATCATACTTTATGCATAGTAAAATTAATAAAGTAAATATATTAAATAGAAAACCTTCGGCTCATACATGTAATGAGATGAGATCATCTGTGCTCTATCAGAGCTCGCCCTCGTGTTTCCCCTCAGCGCATCGTTTAATTCGATGCCCTTTGTGCACACAACTCCCATCCTTCAGTGTCACCTCGCCCTCATCCACTCCTCCACCCTCTCTTCCTCCACTCCCTCCACCTGAGCCCACCCAGAAATGCGCTCTTTCCTCTGTACTCAAACCACACCTAGTTTGGATTTATTACATATTCAGATTTTCCAAGATACGTTTTCAAATCTCGAGTTTCTTGCTGGATCCTCAGCTCCTTGATTCAGGGGAGTGACTGGGCTCTGTTCCTCTCCCTATCTTCCTCAGCAGTGATGTCTACTGAATGGACAAAATTTTAAAACAACCTAGTAAACAAGGTCATGAACTAACAACTTAGTGATTTTATAACAAGGTAGCTATGAATGGCTGAAGATTGATGGTTAACTATACTGGTCATTGTCATTCCCTAGAACTCATTTGCTAAGCAGGTTTTAGGCTTTCGGGTAGAATAGGAAAGAGTAAGGATTAGAATTATACCCTGGCCCAGGTCTCTCCTTGTGTATGAATGTGTAATTCAGGCCTTTAATACAAAATTTAACAACCAAAAGACCAGAACTGTTTAAATAGTTGGAGTTCAAAACTGCATGAAAATAAATTCATAAATGAATAAGTGATTAATTGTTGAACATTCAAATATATTTATATGCATTATAGCACACATAATGTACAACATTTCAATATGTAGATTGAAGTTCATTTTCTTCTTACACCAATAAGCAGTCGGTCAGAAGTCCATTTGCTTCTAAGGCACACGGATGGAGATGAAGTGATCCTATTAGGAGCAAATACTGAGGGCGAAATCAGCCACCTCAAAGCTGACTGTAGCCAGGAGAGTTAGGAAGTCAAACACAGACAGAATGCAATGACTACCCCACTGAAAAGGCAAGGCAATTCAGAATGTAGCCAGATGTTTCTCTACTCTCTACCTCCAATTCTTCAAGATCTAAGAAACTGAAATCTACCAGAAAAACTGAAAGATGTTTTACTAAATCTGTAAAAACTTTTTACCCAGGGATTCCACACAGTTTCGCTCTTGCGTGGAGCACAGGCAGGATTCAGTGAAGACAGCATTCCTGAAGAACAGTGCTGATGACTACTGACAACCAGCCAAAGCAGGCGGTGGGTATCTGGGAATCAGTCAGGGGCTAGTTTGGGAGAGGATGGGAACCAGCCAAGGGGGTGGCCGCAGATGCGTCTGAAGCAGATAGCTGCCACTTTCATGAATCTTTGCACACAGCACAGAGCCTTTGTACTGAATAAAAATGACAAGGCAAAGTAAAGAAAGAAATACCGGATGTGACACAGAACAGTACCTGGCTAGCTAATGCTGCTTGCTCAAGCATACAGGAAACAATGCTTGAGGACTTGCAAAATACCTGGGAAGGATCTTGCAGTGGGTGAGGAGCCCTGCAATAAGGGCTGAGACTCAGCCAAAAGGGTACTGCTGCTGAAACAGAATTTCCTGTAACCTCCAGGCTCCCGGGGCCTTTTAGAAACATGGTTTTCACATATTACACAGCCACCATGAGTCTCAAAAGCTGATCCACAATGGTCAAAGATCTGAAAGCAGTTTGGAGACATTCATATAGTAAATCCCCTTCATCTAGAAAAAGAAATATGAGCATCTTTGAGACAGAGCAGCTGCTTAATGGTTACAGAGCAATATTGCACAACAGCTTACACCAGGAAAAACAGCACTGCATTTGTGTGACGCTGTATTCACAGCACATGTACGCTTTTTTAAAAAATAAAATTGAATATGAAATAAACTGAAAAATCTCAATGGCAATATCAAATTATATTATTTTACTTTTTTTATTTTTCTCTAACAAAGGAAACAGTAAATCACTACTCAAAGTTAATACTGTTTAACCTCCTTTTCAAACAATAACAGAGGGACACAATGGCATATCTAACTGTTAATATCTCAAATTATAATCAGCACCATTTGAATGTTAAACAACATTTACATAGAAAATCCAAAGGAAGACTGATAACACTCATTTTTATGGTGTACTATGTTCTATTCTTGAAATTTAAAAAAAAGAGTCACACGGAAAGCAGTTATTAAATTCATGAAAGCTGTCTTCAAGTATTTGAAGGACTGTTAATGTAAATTGTGGATTAGACTTGTTTTGCAATAGTTTCAGGAGCAGTTCTTTTGGCCCAATAAGCAAATCTGTCATCCAATGAGGAAAGTCATAAAAATGAATGTGAAATTGCAAAGGTAATAATAATCAACATATGCCCTGCTACTGTGCTAAAACCTTCACACGCATGAATCTGCTTAATGCTCACAACCATCCCATGAGATACACTGAAGCACTGTTCCCGTAGCAGTCAAGAAAGCTTTTATTTATACAGGTGAAAAGTTTGCAGGGTTCTGAACACTAAGTTAGATAGAAGAATTCTCACTTTGGGTAGAAAAACTAGTCAAAGCACCTGTAAAGCCCATGGGAACCATCAGATTCCACTCTTTTCTATGGCTGTATCCCTGTGTTAGATTTCCTGCATTGTTCATTTGGAGAAAGAGCAGGTAGACCTGAGCCATCTCCGAGGTGTTTTCCAGCCCTTGATTCCAACTGCTCCCTTCCTTTAACAGAGTGTAGAAGATGGCCTACCTCTGTTTATGAGTGCAAAGGGGAAAACATGAGCTTATTTCACACCAGCTGTTTGCCAATCTTATAAATTCAGCACAACTAACCTACTGGTGATTTTAAATTCAGCACAACTAACCTACTGGTGATAAAATCAGCACAACTAACCCTAGTGGGGTTATGAGATGTAGCTCAATCTTCAATTTCTGAACTGAAATGGAAATATTAGGCATTGCAAAAGTAATGATTTTCTGCATATATGTTGAATGTCAGCTGATAGCCAAGGTTAACACTGTAATATTAACTTAAAGTTGCTTGGCTTTCAATATAAAATATAAATCCCTCATTTAAGATTACAGTGACATGAGAGTCAGAAATGTCTCCACTTTTATACACCCTACTAGTGCTGTATGAGTAGGTTTTTATATCTTTTTCAGTATTCCCT